GAAGTTCTTTACAATGAGGGTGGTGAAACACTGGAACAGGTTGCCCAGAGAGGTGGTGGAGGCCCCATCCCTGGAAACATTCAAGGCCAGGTTGGACGGGGCTCTGAGCAGCCTGATCTAGTTAGCGGTGTCCCTGCTCACTGCAGGGGGGTTGGACTAGATGACCTCTAGGGGTCCCTTCCAACCCAAAACATTCTATGATTCTATGATTCTATGATCTTTCAGCGGCATCTTGGGCGGGTTGCTTCATTTTTCGGTAGCGCGTAGTGGAGAACAATTGCGCCCTTGTAGGTATGAAGGTTATCGCGAGGATAGTGGTGATTGCAAGACGAATAGAATACACTGTAAGGATGTTAGTAAGCTAGCCCTAGGTATAAATACGTGTTTTGTCCTTAACATTGAATTTGTGGTTTTGTTTAGTCGGAGCTGAACATGATTTCAACAATAAATAAAATGCTATCAGCAGTACTGCTCATCTCTCGGGAAGCTAGTTCTCGGTTCTGTCAATAAAATTTAACTGAGTTCTTATTTGGAATGGAACTGTGACGGGAACTTTGTATTCATACTAGCGTCTGGGGGTGTGGATAGGTAGCAAAACAAGGAACTTTGTTTTCATAAAAGCCATTACTTTTTTTTTTTTCTTTAAAAAAGAAAAACTTTTTTCTTTAAAAAAAAAAAAAACAACCAACAATGTAACTTGCATCAAGCTGATTTCTTTACAAGCTTTCTGTCCCATCCCCCCCCCAACATGCTCTTATGTAATATTTTGGTGGCTGTTAGATAATTAAGACTTTTGGCTTTGTTTCATTTGTTTGTTTTGGAACTTGGTTTTGGATATAGCTGGAAACTTGTAACTTTCTAGAATTAATGGATTCTTGGTCTTTTGCTTGCATAGCCAAGGAAGCAAATCTTTTGTTCTTGCTTTGTGTAGCCTCAGTTTTTAAAAAAAGGATTATGGTTATAAGTTTTTTGTAAAGTTTTGTGTATTTAAAATTAGGTGTTTTATTTAAAATCGGAATTGTGGAGAAGGCAATTCTTTGGTGTTTTTTGCTTCATATGCTGTGGTATTTCTTTCATCTCTGAGTGAGAGAAGCTGGGCAGTCTCCTGGTACGTAGCCCAAAACAGCATCCAGTCAAAATGTGCTTTGTTTGCTTTCCCTCTTGCTTGGGCAGAAGGTGTGCTTATATCAGCTAAGCTTGCTGTGGCATTCCCGTTGCCAGCCAACCCAGGGACAAGTCCTGTATCAGCAGCAATATGATCAGTTTTCATGCTGTTGATTTACAGAGTCAAAAAAGAAAACCCCAAAAAGCCAAGCATAAGCAGTTGTTACTGGTGTAGTGTGGTTCTAACAACATTTGCATTTGTGGAATGCGATGCTGAAAGGGAACAGTGTGTTTCAGTAGATGGGCTTGCCTAGATCTGTTGGTAGCAGAAAAGCCTGTCTCCCAGACCCAGCTACTGAATGTGCTGTGATGTCAGTTGTTCCCTTTGCTTAACTTCAAACACCTTTTAACTTTAAAACACTCAGTGCTCTTGCCTGTTAACCTGAGGGGTGACTATGCATGTATTCACGGAATTTAGGATCTGTAGAGACAATCCAGCAACAAACCAGTTCCCTTATTCAGGTCTGCCCCCAAGCTCTGTCTGCTTACCCTTCTCTCTCTCCTTTGCTCCCTCTGTCTCTCCCCACCACCACCCCGCAACCCAATTAAACTATAACTTAATTCTGTAATAAACCTGTGCTGGTCAAGCTGAGGCAGGCAATTGGATTTGGCTAACTAAAACTCTCCTTATAAACACAAGCAGTTGCTTTATTTTAGTTGGAGTAAAGGTTTCTGAATATTCCCGATTCCTTACAAATGAAAAGTAATCTGAGCTTGCAGGAAAAAATCATCGCCAAAAAATTGGGGAGTTTAGGAGATCAGCTACCTAGAAGAGAAGCCAGTATTATTGGACGTGTCTTTGAGTTTCATCTTTTGCTGCAACATTTACTGCCTGTTTGTATTTGAACTACAGATGAGTTGGTCTGTGGCAAGCTCTTTTTATTTTTTTTTTTCCCCACACAGATGTATCCCACTTGTCCTGAAGCTTCTTCTAGAAGCACAGATGCAATTGCTCATGTTGGAGGTCATAGTGTATTGGACCTAGCAGCTATTCTTTAGATTAGCTGCTCTCCAGACTGTACTGCACATCCTTTTCATGATCGGTAAAATATCCTCTTGGATTTTCAGTGCCAGACTTTATTCAAAGACATGCGGTGGCAAAAAATAATGGCTGGATCGAGCAGCCTAAGAATTCTTAGCTTAGTCTACAGCTAAAGCAAATAACAAGGATGTTTTGGTATTCCTCTTGGTTCCAGCAGGTGGAACTAGATGGCTGCTCAGAGTAAGTCTGATGTATTTCATCATTTAATAAGGAGTGGAGGGGGAAGCTCCCAGATAGAAGGCTTCAGGAGAGTTATGATTCAATAAATTGGATAATGATATGTCAGCATAGAATAATGATGTGTCAGCATTCCTAGGGTAGTCTTAGCATGTGATCTAGTATCCTACAAGATTGTTTAATATGTAAAAATAGGTTTTGTCTACAACCATTGTAACTTGACTATAAAAAAAATTGCTGTGGAGATGCTAACATTGAGCTTTCCTTCACAAATGTCATCCTAGAGGTGTTAGTCCTAGATGGATGTTTGCTGTCTTGCATGGATACCCTGAGTCATGTTTCCAGGACTTGTTCTTTTCTTGTTTCTTTTTTTTTTTTTTTTTTTTTTTTTTTTTTTACACTATTTCTCTAGCTCTTAAGGTAAATTAAGTTCTAACCAAAAGGAACAGAAGGAGACTGAGCAAGCACCTCTATGGGGCAGAAGGGACTGGAGGCAGAAAGAAAGTCAGCCTGTGGGGAAATCTTTATGTGAATAATTTCTTTTTTTTTTTTTCCCCCTCTCTTAGAAGCACTGGGAAAGCTTAGGAAGGGGATAAGTTAGGATTTTATCTAAAATATGCCCTCGAAGAAAGGGGGATTGATTTCTCTGTAATAAAATTGCAGTTTACTCTGTGTTTAAGTATTCAGTTACGATACCAAAAAGTTTTCTTCAGAATTAGTCATTTTAAATATAAATATTTCCTTCACTGCACTTAAATGGCGACTAACAGTCAACAATTAGCGTTGGAACAAGGTGTGATAGGCTTGGGTTTGTTGTGTTTTTATGAGTGGATCTTTACGTACCTAGGGGTTCAGGTCTGCTTTCTGAACTGGCATTCCTCCTGTGTATTGGTTTCTTAGCTGGACGTAAGCATTGTCTGCTGTATCCCTTTCTTTAGGATTCAAGCAGATCTTTCATATTCAGAAATTACAGAATCTTAACTATTTAGAAAAAGTTGCAGTTCTTTAACAAAACATAATTCCGTACTGTGTGTTTGATGCTTGTACAATCACAGTTAGAGTTGCACTCAAGTTTCATTCAGCTGGTATTAGGAAATATTTCCTCTAGGATCGTTGTGTAGGTATTTAATGTTTGTAGCTTGTAGCGTTTTCTGCTTGATTTTTCTCTTTTAATAATGTTATGTTTGTATGTAAGATGAAACTCTGCTCTTAACAAATAGAGTAAAAATTTCCTTGCTGTAGAAATTACCTGTTTAGCTTTTCCTTTTCCATTTTTGTCTTGCGCTCTGGTCCACAGCAGTTACTATGAAGTCTGTTGTAAAGTAGTATCTGACTTGTTGCAGTTCAGGACTACTGGAGAGCTTGAAGATTTTGTTGCACCTTCATGTTGCTTTATGTTTATTTTTCATCTTTCAGCTCCGTGAAGAAGTTGCCACTGGAGTTACTACTGACAGAAGTACTGTCTTGGCAAGTGTAATTGCTGCTTGCAGAAGGCTTTTCTCTCAACCTCCCAAAGGTGATTATAACTTTGATCAGTGAAGTGAAGCAGACTGTGTTCCTTGCTGAGGCCTGCACTTGTGTGCCATTTAGGTTTATTGTCTGTGGGGAAGTATGTTCTTGTACTAACCAGCCATTAGTCTTGAGATGGAACTTGGATTTATGGGATTTTTTAGGAGCTGTTAAAGAATGACTGCAGTTTGCTAAACTTTTATGCAGTGCAATTCTGCGTTGAACTAAGCTTATATATCTCTAGTTTAAAGGATAGGCTTATTTTAGGTTATTAAATAAATTTGATATATTCTTGTCGACAGTAGTAGATTTATTTATGGGAATCTGGTGGAGATTCCCACAACAAAACCACAAGAACAGAACCATTTTTGCAGTCTGTCTGTTGCTAGCTTCTTTGCTGTTGTATATATTCAGTTTGTGGCTACTGAAGTGTAATGACAGAATTGTAAACTAAAAAACAATTATGAGCTCTTTAATTCTTTCTTAATAGGATTTGAAAAATATTTTCCCAATGGGAAGAAAGCAAATGGAACTAAAGGTACAGCTGGAGAAACAAAAGGTATAAAAAGCTGCTTGATTTCAGTTCTTTGTGGAATGTGTATTCGTTAGACTGGATTTTAGTATAACATTGTGGGTTTGGGTTTTTTGTTTATTTTTCAGGAAAGATATTTCTGTACCAGATTAGTTTAAAAATGTGAATGGATATATTTTTATTAAACATTTTGCTTTCCTATCATGTATAACATCTGGAATAACGTTTATTTTCTCTTATGCTTCTATTGGAATGCTGTCCTTAAATTCTTGTTTCACTGTTTCCTATTAGTTGACATTAGTAGTGCATTCAGAGTTCCTCTATGTGTATAGTTCTCTGCTTTTCCTAGAGCAAGCTAAAATACCCATTTTGTTGTACGGAATAACCAGAATTGTCGTTCTGGGTGCGGATCCAAAACCAGATCTTTAGCTGGGACCAACCATGTAGCCTGCTGCTTCAAAGAGGAGTCAGTAGTGGCCGTGCTAGAAGGAGCCCTATCTTTACAAGGAGGGAGGGGAATCTGGAAATTATTAGCAATAACAGTCACTCCATTGTATCAGAAATCTGTATGACACATCTTCCAAGGAGAAGGAGAGGCAGCAATCCCGTGAGGCTCTTATGAGAGCGGGAGTTTTCCTTCCGCCTTGAATGGTAAAATCCAGTGTCATGCTCAGATGGCCAAACTACCAAGCCCTTGGAAGAGCTAGGGTGGAAGGAGTGTTAGTGTTGTGCTCAGTCTTGCCCTCTGGAGTGTGTTGACATATGACATCATGCTACGCTGTGCAGGCACCTTGGGAGTTGCGCGAGTAGAAGAATGATTGATTAAAATGAACTCCTCAACAATAGCTGGCTGTTACTGTGCCGCGCTTGCCTCTAGAACATTAAAAAGGATGGCAACCTGTGATACCAATAAACCCTGGGCTTTCAGAGGACCATAGTATGATGGGAGGGGTGAACTATGGGAGATGGAGATGTTACTTGGACCTTGTGGTGGTTTGTTTTTTTTTTTTTAAAAAAAACAACCAACCAAACAAAAAACAACCCACCTGCCTCCACCCCAAACCCAACAAAAAACCCCAGTAATCCCCCCCATCCCAACTCCCAACAAAATGCTTAGAATAATCTTGCACATGTCTTGGATTAGTGCAGTAGAAGTAAGTCTTGTGGAGTCTCTATAACAGGTTTCTTTTATATTTGGGATGTTTTTCAGTTCTTGGTGCCCAAGCGTCGTCAGTTGCGCAATTAACAGACTTCTGATCTTAACTGTATGAGATAGATGTCTCTCTGCCAGTTAATGGGCTATATATCTGCTATTTTCTGTGCAAAATGCAGTTTCTCACATCCTCTAATTATTGTGGCATTGCAAACTAGTTCATTTTCAGATCAGCTCTTTTCATTTTAAAACTAATTAAAAATAGTGTGAAATTGGTATAAGATGTGAAGATGGTTTTTTTTGTTATGTTTTATTTTTGTTAGAAGCAAAGCAAGCTAGTGCCCGACAGCCTAGTGGGACTAGTAGTGGAGCAGGTGGCAGTGGTGGAAAAAAAGGTGGCAAGAAAGAAGAAACTAACTGGTGGACCAGATTACAGAAGGTCTTGACTTTAAAATATCTTTATGGTACTGACTGTCTTGTCCCCATGAAATGACTTTGCATGGTTTTTTGCTTTTTAGGGCCATATTCTGATTGCCTAAATCATCCTTAAGCCTCCTGTGCCTGTTGTTTATAGTAACTGGCTCTAGGTGGCTCCTCACTCAGTGCCTTTCATAAATAACCATTTCGTATATACCTTCAGAGGCATCTGACTCTGGTTCAGAAACATTAATGGAGTTTTAAGCCATATGAATACGGTTACTAGTAGTCAGTATTCTTATAGTGGAGCCTCAGGCCTTTACAGGCTTTGTATTTTGTTTCAGAATGTCAATTTGTAAAACTTGCTGACCACACAATGCTAGTTAAATGTAGTTTACTGTTAGCCGCTCTCACCTTAACAAAATACTTAAGTTTCTTTCTGACATTTATATTTATTATCATTAGCTGTAGCACAAAGACGCCAGCATCTGGCAGTACAAGAATATAAAGAATATTTTTCTGATTTTACTTAGTGGGTATAATTTTTTTCTTCATTCCTGGGTTTTTCCTGTGGGTTTGGCGTTTTTTCCCTTTATTTTTGTAGGTCTTCCATGTAGTCCTGGAAGGCAGGAATGGAGAGAGAAAGGTCATATAACAAATGGCAAAACTTTTTTATATATGAAGTAGTTCATAGATCAAAACTGTTCAATTACTATCTGTAAAACACTTAAAAGATTTTTCTACTAAAGTTGTAATTCCTCAGAAGTTACTGAAGTGTGTTCATACAATAAAATACAGCTTTTTTTGACGTTCTCTGGTAACCTTGAAGGCAGGGAATAGAAAGCCACAAATAGATACTAGAACCTGTTTGTTATGTTCTTACTGTATTACACACTCTAAAACCATTTTTTTCTCTGTTTCCTAGGGTGACATTCCATGGGATGTCAGGGAGTTTCGGATGTATGTAGTGGGAAGTTCTTTTTTCTGGACGATGGTTGTATACTACTTCTTCTTCAGGGTCCCTGGGAGAGAAATCACCTGGAAAGACTTTGTCAATAACTACCTTTCTAAAGGAGTGGTGAGTAGTGAGGGGAATCAAAATGGAAAAATCAGTGTGCTGAAGATGCTCATTTCTGCGTCCCCGCTTATGCTTGTATTCGTGTATCTGTGGAGTGAGAACCGGCTCAAGAGTAACTGTTGAGGAAGAAGGGAGTCGGCTGTCATCTTAATCAGTTCCTTAATCTGATGTTCTGGGTGGCCATATGAAAGTCTGTGTCGGTTCAAGAGAGGAGAGGGAATGGGCAGCTCAGGACAGAACTTTTTTGTTGGATGGCTTGTGTTAATGCTAGTTTGAAGAGGCAGTGCGACCACAGCCTCTCAGCATATGGTCCTGTAGTACAGGTAAGCTGACCTAATGGCTTAAGCAGACACATGAGCTGCCCTCAGAAGAAACTTGCTTCTAATCTTAAATGCTTCCACGAGCCCACCCACTTGAAAAAATAAAAAAAAAAAGCGTCCTGCTTGTTTTATGCCTTAAATCAGTTCCTCCGGAAGTCTGAGGAGCAGCAGTGCGAACAGATGGGTGGGGAGTCGAAGAATCCCTTCCAAGGACAGTAAATTGGCATAACTGTGTTGTAAAATAGCCTTCTTTATTTGTTTTCTCCTTCCTTATTTCTTCTTTCCTTCCTACTTGGAGCCACTACTGGGGCAATCAATTTTATCATTGGTGTCCTAGTCCTTTACAGAACTTGGCAGCTTTCCACGCTTGGAGTAATAGGCTGGTGATGCCTTGAAGTTCAGGAGATCAAGTGTCTTACACAGGCCTTTTCCACTTCAGGAGCCATTAGTTTTTGGCTCTGTTACCTCCCTGTTTGTAGCTTCACCTTCAGGTTAGGAAAACATTGGCTTGCTTCCTCCTCTAGGTTTCAGACCTGGGATTTTGTGTTAACAGCATGCTTCCTACCCCTCCATTACTTTGGTAAAGTGCTAAACGGGTTGTTTCCTATTTTTCTTTGTCTTACTGATCTATGCAGAGCTGCTCTGTATGCTTTTTCCCTTCTGCCTAGACTGTTTCTTACAGTCCTCTACTTAATTAGCAATTATGTGTACATCTTGTGGGGGAAAAAAAAAAGTGCTGATTGTATTTGTCATGAAGCAGTAAGACACCAGCTCATTAAGAAGATTAGTTTAGCTGTTGTAGTGAGCGAAGCCTGACCCCTTGTTGCAGAAAAGCATTAGGAAAGTGGGTTGTTGCACAAAACCATGTCCCTTGGGCCTTTGTAAGATGTAGTTTGGGTATCCAGATCAGCTAAGTATGTAGCTATCAAATGGTTGCCATAGTGGTGGCCATTTAATGGGGAGAAGACGTCAGCACTACTGGGGTTAAGTGCTTTTCAAAACAAAGACATTCAGGTAGTTTTGCATGAAGTCAAGTTAGATCTAGAGTGGCTTCTTAGCTCATGTTTTGCTTCAATTCTGCCAGAAATGGCTACATGTAGTGAGTTCAGGGAAACCTTACTAGCCTGCATACAGTTCAGGCCCAACTTGTAGAACCACTGCTAGTTTTAAATTCTTTAAAGATGCTGCAACCAGCTATTTTATGGAAAGAGGAAGAAAAAAATGGAAGGAAACTTAAGTTGCCTTCTGAAGAGACCCTGTCAAATTCAAGAAACTAACCATTTGAGACTGTCTATTAAAAAAACCCAAAACAAACAAACAACACTTAATAGTATATATCTGCAAACCCGCAGCTCAATTCTTGATTTGAGTTTATATGGTATCTGTTACCTAACTGATGTTTAATTGTCTTACTGTGTGTAATATGGTAGCACAGGAAGTCTTTTGTATTAGGGAAAAAAATTGTAAGAGCAAAGTTAAGTTTTTCCCGTGTTCTGTTTGGTTTGGTTTGGAAGCTGCTACAAGAGTTTGGAGTCCTGTGGTCTATTGCTTTTGGTGTTTGGCCTTTGAAATAGTTAAGTATTGTTTAACTATTTCACTGCACCTGCAATTTGAGCTGAGGTGTGCATTGGGTGTTTTCCTTGAAAAAGTTTGAGGTCATCCTTTCAATCTAAATTTTTAATGTGCCAGTATTCCTTGCTTACTGATTAGATACAGGATTCTTCATGCCATTGCTAACGGCAAACCGTAGATTGTGGAACCATCCTGATCTACAACATGAATTTTATTCTGCTCACTGGAAAACAGAACAGGTTCATATTTGGTATATGTAGTTCTTGGCTGTGATGGAAGTGCAGTGACCGTACACTCTAACGTATTACAAGTTTTCTTCTTTCCTCCTACAGGTGGATAGACTTGAAGTGGTGAACAAGCGCTTTGTTAGAGTGATCTTTGTTTCAGGAAAGTCCCCTCACGAATGGGTAAATGCTTTTAATACATATGCATGAGACATTAGCAACAGCAAAGCAATCTTTTTAGGTAAAGTTTGATGTGGAAAACTTGGTCTGGAGCATTAATAATCTCTTAATCTAAAACATGTTTTCTGCCTTACTGTTACATTATCCTACATGGTGTGTTTTTTCACTTATCGGTGGCAAAACAATCAATACAGTAATCTTAAAGCTATGGCAAGTAGCTCCTTTCCAGCACTGTGCTCTTAATACAAATACACAAACAGGAAGAGTGAGAAATTGCTGAAGGTTCTGTGTTTCTAACTGCTGTTTTCCATCTGCTCAGGAGAACCCCAGACTTAACCATGCATGCTTTGGGATCTTTTCTGTTCCAGACTGCTTTTAGCCAGTTATTTGAAAAACAAAAGAGAAGCTTGGTCAGGTTAACTCTTCCTGGGTGGTAGAGTTTTGGGTTTTTTAACTGACTTTCTGAACCAATGTCTGCAAGTCCCTCTGGGTTAAAGTGAAATCTGCAGCAATTTCTTCATCAGTGGGTTTCACTGTAACTTATTTATACACCTACTCTTTAGCCCACATACCACCAGTTGCCTTAGTTTCTCAATTGATTAATTCTTGGGACTACTCCCCCCCCCTTTTTTTTTTTCTTTTTCAGTATTAGGGTAAGTAGGGGTAAGTCAGGCAGGTCATGGTGCACAAAGGGATATTATTGAAAAAACAAATCTCAACACTGCTTGAAAGTAATGTCTGGATTTATTTTTTTCTGGTGTATGGTGTAAGTTCATGCTGTCTTTTATGAAGACGGCTAACTTTAAAACTAGTATGATCTCCAAAAGTACAGAAGTGCTTTTCTTAACCAGAAAAGCCAAGACCTTGAGGTGAAACAGTAATTTGTATGGGTGCTGCCAGTTCAGTGGTCTGCATTACTCTGACTGCATAGCTCCCCTCTAAAAATCTGTTTACCTACTCTCCTTCCATTTGTTCCTGGAGAAAATGCCAGGATTTCAGTCAATTTAAAGTGCCCCAAAACTATTGGGTATATGATTTCTGTGGAAGCAATGACAGATACAGTATATTCAGGTTGGTAGGCCTTAGATTTGTTAGGTGCATCTTAACATCAGTTGCACACTTTACAAGGCAGTTTAAAACTCTGTTTTGGTCTGAATCTGTTTGTGAGAATTCCATGTGTACGTGTTAGAAGAAGTTGGCTTGTAATGAAGCTGAAAGAAGATAGGGCACTTTGTGGTGATCTCTGCTTTTTTTTATAGCAGTACGTCTGGTTTAATATTGGTAGTGTGGACACTTTTGAACGGAATCTTGAAACTGTGCAGCAAGATCTGGGAATAGAAGTGGAGAACAGATTGCCTGTAGTCTACTCAACAGAGAGTGATGGGTAAGAAGTTGCTTTAAAAAAGTGTCATTATGAAAATGGTTGGTTTGTACAGTAGAATCGTTGTAAGACATGCCCCGTATGCTTCACTAGGTGGCAGTATTATCAGAGTAAGTTATCTTGGTTTTATTTTTGAATGTTAACTGTAAGAGGAGCTGTTCAGTACTTTGTCTATGAAGAAATCCATATCCTCTTACCCTAAATATAGCTTCTTATTACATAAATGTTTCTGTTTACAATTAGTCCTTCCTTCATTTAAGCCCTACTTCCAAGTGACTTGGACTAGAGCAGGAGTCAGGCAGGCACGCACAGCTGTAAAGCTCCAGAGATGGCACTCATGCAGATTTTTGGACAGATAAAATACAGCACAGAACTACAGTGTATCGACTGAGATATGAGGCACTAATTTCTGCACATAAATTCAACAGAAGTCAAGCTCTATGGCCTTGCAAAAAGACAAGGAATGGGTGATTAAGTAAATCACACTGTCCTGCCTGTTAGCAGGAACTGGAAGATGCGTGATGCTTTTAATCTCTAAATTGGTTGAGAAAAATAGTACTGACATTGTTTCTTCCCCAGTAGCAATACTAGATTTGTATTGTTTGTATTAGTCTTATGTAGCTGAGCTTTTTATTGACATGGGCTTTAGAAGAGGCTAGATGTGGTTTTCTGAATGGCTTAGAAGGCAGGTGTAATCTTTTATCCCAGAACTGATTTCTTTTTGATCTAAGTCAGCAGTTTGAAAATGACTCCTGCTGGTGTCTGTGAAATAGGTTTTGTACCACCAGGAAATTCAACTTTGGGTGTAGTAGATCGTATTACTGATGAAGAAGGCTCATTTGCTGCCTCTCTTGTAGTTTTCATTCATGATACTGTGGCATGTGTTTCAGTTTTTGGGGATGGAGGGAAAAGTTTTGTTTATTTCTGCAATGAGTTTTACCAAGCTGCTGCTGCCTGTTTTTCTTGGTGGCAACAGGAAAAATGGTAGCCTTACCTCTGGACTATCGTGCAACTTGAGATAGAGGTTTTCTGTTCCCTGTTCTTCTACAAACTCTCTCCCTCATTTCTCTGTTTCTGTCTAGTGGGACTTGCTCTTAAGGACAGTCCATAAATAAACTTGTTGAGCCCTTATTAAAACAAATCTGGAAAAAAATGAGTGGGCAGGGCTACATGGTGCTTGCGCAAAGAGTCTGCGTGTCAGCCTGAGGCTTCTCACAGCAGACTGGGGAAAGTATGTCAGTTCCTGTGTTGTCTTCAGCCTCGCACAAATCTTGTACTTGCTGAACCCCTCTTTCTGAGCACAGTCTCTCTCTGGCCCTTTCCTCCTCATTGTCTGTTCTTCATAGAATACATTGCCTGTAACTTCTTGTTCTGCCCTAGAAATGTCACAGGAAACAGGAGAGAGCGAGTAATAGCTGTGTGATTATAGTACTGCTGTGCCCTGCTGGATCAGAATCTGCTGAATACCGTAGGATAGGGAAGATCCTTCTCCCCTTTCATCTCAGAAACGTGGGTTATCAGTAAAGCTTGGGAATCTTGTGCTCACGTACGGTAGTGCTTCTTTTCAGCATTTCATTTTTGCTGATTGTTGACAGAACCTCTTGTGAGCTGTTCCGTGAAGGTCTTAACACAGAAAAATCTGCATGGCGCTCAGATACTGTGGTAATGAGGATAATGTTATTAGGATTTTTGGCCTGTACAGAGCTATGCTAGAAAGCTGGAGGACAGACAGTGAAGGGTAATGGACAATGAATAATCAAAAAAAACCCCAAACAAACCAACCCCCCAAAGAAACCAAACCAAAACCCTACAGCCATTGGGAAGGGATGTAGAAACACTGGAAGAAGAAGAAAACAGAGAAAAGACCTAAGGGAGTAAAAGCAAGATTATATTTTGGAGAAATTTCTGCCTGAAGTTGTGGCATACACCAATTATATGCTACCTAATACAACTTAATTTGACAATATAACCATTTGCATAAACTAGTCCTGTGAATTTACCTTTGAAGGGCACAGAAAATGAGATACTTCTGTTTACTAGGCAATGCAGTTTGTCTCTGGAAAGCTCATCAGTGTCATTTGATGATGTGTTTGGTTTAAAGACAAACAAAAAATAACAAAATAACCCCCAAAACTGTCACTGGTTAAGCATCATGTGTAGAAATGTATTACCCTCTAAGATTGTTAATTTACATTTTTCCAAGATCTTGAGGGAAGGAGGATGGGCAATGAAAAATCAATTCCAACTTTTCCTTTAATTATAGTTATAAGGGCTTTTTGGCCTGTTCAACTTCTGTAATTAAGAATCTTTTTTTTGTTCTCAAATCTATTTTGATTATTTCCCAATCTGAACAATTTTCAAAAATGTAAACATTACAGGTTAATAGAGTATTTGTCCTGAATTTGTTCACAGTTGCTTATGAGGGAACCAACATTTTGTACATGTTATATGCAGTAACAGATTTTTGTAATATATGTGGGTTTCTGCTTGCTTTGTTTTTTCTCCATAGATCATTTCTCCTGAGTTTGCTGCCTACAATCCTCATTATAGGTTCTTTGCTGTACACACTAAGAAGAGGTCCTGCAGGCTTAGGTCGAGCAGGGCGCGGAATGGGTGGACTCTTCAGTGTGGGTGAAACAACAGCCAAAGTCCTTAAGGATGAAATAGACGTTAAATTCAAAGATGTAGCTGGCTGCGAGGAGGCCAAATTAGAGATAATGGAGTTTGTTAACTTTCTGAAAAATCCTAAACAATATGAGGATCTGGGAGCAAAAATTCCAAAGGTAAGGAAATGATGACTCAGCAGATGAAGACTTTATTCTAAATTGGACTAGGAATGTTTACATATGCAATGCTTTTCAGCTTCATTCATCTCACAGTCAGGAGAAAAAATAAATGGGCATGAAGTGCTAACAGTGTAACTGTGGTGCCAGAAGATTTGCCTCGTGGAATACTTAATCTGTTCACATGGGTCAGAAATGATACATAGCATGCATAGGTACCATCATTGTTGTACATAACTGTTACAGAATTGTTGTTTGGCTATGTTGTCGTGGGAGCTCATCTGATGACTTTTGGGGGTTTTTTTAATGTCAGTCAAAAGCACTGTTCCTGTAAATCTTAAGACAGCATGGCAATGTTGTAGCTAATTTTTTTTTTTTTTCTGTTTTGCTGGTTTAAATGAGAGATGAATCCTCAGTTGGTTTCCTTGCACAATTTTGACTGGGGTGGAAGAAGAGCCAGTGGACTCAACGTCATAATGTATATTAAGTCAGATATTTCATAGGCTTATATTCTGTTTTCTTCTTGAGGAAAATATACCTGTTTCTCTTGCAGGGGGCAATTCTGACAGGTCCTCCAGGTACTGGGAAAACACTTCTAGCTAAAGCTACAGCTGGAGAAGCTAATGTACCATTTATCACAGTGAATGGCTCGGAGTTCTTAGAAATGTTTGTTGGTGTTGGTCCAGCTCGAGTAAGTCTTTGGCCTTGTTCTTTTGTTTCAGTATTGGTTGTTGAAAGAACATTGTCAAGTTTGGGAAGCAAACAGTTTGATTACAGCTGAAGTTCTCTCATCTGTGCAGATTACTTACAAGTGATGCCAGGTGCTTGTCTAAACACAAGAATCATAGATGTACTTTTCATAAAAGGAAGTAATGCAGTTCAGTGTCTGGTTGTGGGCCATCAGGACCTTAAGGGTTTACCTCTTTGCAGGATCTTAAGAAAACAGAACCGAACTCTGAAGTAAATTTACTGGCTGGGTCAGAAATACGTAGCTCATTTGACTACTGCTATGGGAATGTCTCCTCCTGCTCTAAATCATTCCTGTTTCTTTGAAGAACTTTTCTCTTTGTGGTGTCAAACCCATAGATACACGTAGTTGTCTGGGACACACAAATGAGCTTCTGGTTGAAATAGGAGTCCAAGGGTCATGGAGCTAATGATTGATTTCTTGAGATCAGATGATTTATATACACAGATATATATCTGTCTAATGGTTTTTGTGCTGTTTTGCCTTAACTCTCTTAAAATAGCTCACTAAAAACGTAGTAAGTGGATGGAGTTAGCTCTGTTCCAGTACATCCATTTTTCTTTAACTATTTTTTTTTATTACAACTACATTTCAAACACTCAGTTTTAAATCTGTGTCTTATACAACCAACCCTTGCCATTCTGTGATCTTCTCCTGTCTAGGAAGGAAGGATACTTAAATCTGCTGAAAAATACTCTATAAACAAGTTACTGATGACATTTTACAAATGAGGCAGGTAACACAAAAAAAATAAGGTTCCTCATAACATCCGAAATTTATACTCCCATTTCCAACAGCTCATACTTTCACCAAACTCCAAACATCTTGTCTTGAGCTTTAAAAAGTATACTGCAAGGTGACACACTTTTGGAAAACTAAGATGTGTTTGCCGCAAATTCTGTGAACAGGCTTGAGGAAGCATACCATGGTTTTTACTCGTATTATAAAACTAATTCTGCTAGCATGAAGTGGAAATGCTTTAGGGTCTTGATTTGAATTTGAAATTTGAGGGAATGGCTCTTACCAGCTATTTGTGGGTTTATGTCTTGTGAATTTTCACAGGAAAACTCCTTTTGACTAAGTTATATAAGGCCCTGAAAAACTGCAGTTTTTACATGTGTAAGCTGTGTTAGAGCTTAGCAGATAAACTTCCCAAGATTTGGTTCTTAGTTTGTCACAGCTGTGCATGCGTATGCCTCTTGCAAGCGTAGGTCTCTCTTGATGGTCTTTTGCTGGACGACTTCTAGTAGTATAGGTGGGAAAAGATAAATGAAGCCATGTAATTTTGGGTCTTCTGAAAAGAGAAGAGAGAAGGGGAGTGGGGGATGCATGCATGTAGGCTCAGAGCTTGGAACTGAGAATAACAAGAGCTGTTCAGAAGGTTGAAATGCAAGGCAAGGTGGGAGTGGATGCTTCAAGTGAGGATGCAGAGAGACTGGAAATGTGTAAGGAAATTGGCAAAAGGAGCTATTACGGAGGGAAGAGGGTATAGACAGAGAGTGGGGAAATAAATGCAGAAACTGGTAACGGGGTAAAAAACATGGATGGAGACTGAAAAAGAGCAACTATTTGAAAGCCAGAGGTATGGAGATAGTGAATCATGTATGCTGCATGTTCCCTTTTTCAAGTCCCACTCATCTTACATACAAGGGACTTTACAGAGCAGCAGTAAGAAAATAAACTGATCCATATCCTCCTGGAAAGGATTAGGTATCCTGAAATAATAATGGTACTCAGAAACTACGTTGTCATTAGTAGTCAATACATACCTGAAATATACCAAAACAAAGTGACTTAACCTTTTTCTGCTAGTCTATGCAGATTATCAGCTTTTAATACTCAGTGAAATCTGTTGGCGTATCAGTTGCTGCTTTGGCTATGAATCTAGGTTTCAACACAGTCGATAATTTCTGATGCCTGTAGAAAACAACATGAGAGTGGTTTAGTTTACTTTCCTATAAATGTAGTAATTAGGACAGTTGTTAATGATGCTAGATTATTTGTAAATTGGGATATGCTGGAATTAAAACTGCTTACACAGCCCTGGTTGCTTTGGTGGTTTTAGTGTATAGGCATTATGGTAATTTTTAGTTCCATTCGTTCTGAAAAATAGTTGTATATTTCTGGATCTCATCTCTTTCCCATCAAAAGATAGTTCACTTTGAGCATCTGGCACTTTCTCCTTGTTTATCATGTTCCTTCATGCTTATGATACTCATTATACTTTTCAAATTCTGTTTACAAATCAGCGTGACTTTCTGTAGTAGAGCATACTGTCCAAAATTCACATTTCTTCACATCTGCTGTACGTTGTTTGTTATCAGAGAAGCCTCCTCTAATTGCATCTCTAACAAAGTTGCATCTCTTTACAAAGTAGTAAAGCTTGCTCGGGTCAAAATTCTTCCATAATTTTTCATTTCCTGTTTGCTCCAGTTTGGTTCCTCAGTTATAGATCTGTTGACTTGCTGAACTGGTTTTAATGAGGTCCTTCTGATATATCTGCAAGCAGAGTAACATTGTAATCTTGCATCTTTAAGCCAATCGCGTTGTGCTGTAACTACTACAGGAGAATTTGATAGGTAGTATCTTACTTAAAATCTGAAAGTCCAAAAAAGTTTTCAGCTGTTTGCTCATGTCTTGGCCACTTTCTCCAGAATTCTGGAAGTTAATTTAACTTCCGAATAAATATTTGGAGGTGAATTCAGTTTTCCTCACCCAGGTAATGGAGAGACAGGATGGCTAAGAGAGTTAGTATTTGTAACAGCATATTGTTAAGAGTACAACAGTAAGCGCTTGTATGTAAGGCTTCATTAAGGGCTCACTGTAGGAGCTACAACACCCTATTCTAACTGGGAAAAAAAAAAAAAATTGACTGTGTGGTAGCACGCCCATTCATATCCCGATTCTGTTTGTAGTACTGTGCATTAAAGAAGAGCTTAAAAGTATAATCTTGCTTTAAATCTCTGAAGTTTGGAGGCTTTTAGAGCTCATGCTGAAGATATATTTCAGTTATTCAGGAACAGTGGTTATTTCTTAAGGCTTTTAATTTTAATGTTCTTGATTTATGGATTGAGAAAGAATTTGTCATCGAGTGGTCTCCACATTAGGGATTCTTGCTGAGGGGCAGCTACAGTGTAACTTATCATTGCCTTGAGAGCTGGCTGGAGGCTTTGGAACACTTGGAACAACCATACTCAATTACAGTGATACTGTTACTGATGTACTTCTGCCCCTCCTACCCACCCCCCAACTCTGAACAACTACAAAGCAATCTGATACATACTCTGTTCTCCTACAAAGGTTAGAGACTTATTTGCTCTTGCTCGTAAAAACGCCCCGTGCATTCTCTTCATTGACGAAATAGATGCAGTAGGAAGGAAAAGAGGAAGGGGCAACTTTGGAGGACAAAGTGAACAAGAGAACACACTCAATCAGCTTCTAGTAGAAATGGATGGTAAGTATTTAACGTCCAATATTATTAACAAGGATAAGGGAAAGAACTAATACGCTTGTTCAGACCTGTTAACCAAGATTTGGATTCTAGCTTAAATATAAATAGAGTGTGTTTCCTTGCTTCCTAAAATGAAGAACAGTGATTCATTTTGCTGCAGCCTTATGTTTTGCTAAAATTTGTTCACACTCTTTGTCATAGTTGAATAGGCCAAAAAAAAAATAAATAAAATTCTTTGCATGAGACCAGTCTGTCTGTAAAAAATACAGCTAGCCATGCTGGTTCTGCAATTTCCTGAGCAGTTAATCTATTATTGCATTTTGAAGATAAAGCAGGATTTGATATAGTACTTCACAAAGCAGAGCCCAAGGCCTTTTCTTTGCTTGTTATGAAAAGCTGGACAATGGTCTAATAAACAGAAGTATTTTCAGCTTTTAAGATTATTTGGTTAAACTGCCAGTTCTTATGTGGCCCTGTAAAGCGGACAGTCTTTTTATTTGCTTGGGATTTTTTTTCATGGAAATTATATTTACACACATTTTCTCTTTATTATGTTTCTTCAACAGGATTTAATACAACCACAAATGTAGTAATTTTGGCAGGTACTAACAGGCCAGATATTTTAGACCCTGCTCTAATGAGACCAGGACGCTTTGACAGGCAGATTTACATTGGTAAGTTTTATCTGTATTGCTGTATACTTCTGCATTTGTAGAATACCACTGAAATCACTGCAGCTATTTACAGACATAACTTCCTTGCACGCATTCCATTAAAAAGATATATGTGTGTGTATGCATGTTTGAAAAGTAAATCATACTTCTTTCATCTTAAAGGACCTCCAGATATAAAAGGAAGAGCATCTATTTTCAAAGTTCACCTTAGACCTCTAAAATTAGACACCATCTTAAATAAAGATAACCTAGCAAGAAAACTTGCATCACTAACACCTGGTTTTTCTGGTAAGTGACTTCTATATGCCACTGTTCTTTTCCATTTACTATAAAAGCTGTAGATACTTTATTTCCCTGCTATTTCCACTTGCACCTGATCTTCTGGATGGCACTCTTTATTTTATTGTATTTACTGGTACAGCATGAAATTCTCTCTGCCTGTTTGAGCAAGTAGGAGATTTCTGAGGGTCTGAAGTTTTGTCTGCCTCAATCAGGGTGATACCAAATGGCAGTTTCTTCTGTCCTCAGCAAAAGCAATCCAGATAGCTCATTGCTGTCACTCGTGTGTATTCTTCCTTTTAATACTTTTTTTAGATTCTTTGAACACTAGTAGAGAAGATCTGGGGTTTGTGCAGTTTGTGTGTGTATTCTATAGGGGGATTTCTGTTCCTGGATGTAAAAACTTCTCCCTGGAAAATGTACTGTAACCTTGTGTTGAATTAGGAACAGATATGAGAACTCTCATTACTGGCTTGCAATTTAATCCATTTAAAATCTGTGTTGACCAGTAGTTGAATTCTTTACCTGGTTCATAGTCTCTGTGAAACTGGCTTTCTGAGGTCTGATTGTCAACATTTCTGGCAACTACAGCGATGGTGTTAAAACTCAGTTATCTCAATAGCATTACTGCAAATAATGTTAACAAGTGGATGGCTTGAAACCAGCAATGTGAAAGGATATCCTCTAGAGATACATCCAGGTTGGAGCTATACTGGATCCATATGTAGAAAATTTATTCTGCTAAATATATACTAGTTTAAGTATAGTCTGTTGCAGAGAGAAAATTTATGGAAGGTGGGATATATCAAACAAGTATTTGACTGGTAATCAACTCTATTTGGTGTCTGTCTACCTAAGAGGAAAAAATCCTAAAGCCTATAACCATAGTATGTGCATTTATTTATCTCTTAAACAATTACACTACGTGTAATGAATTATTTCAGAGCGCATTACCTTTAATACTCAAGCTCTATGAGAATCTATAGAAAACTAATTCTAGATGAGGTTATCTTTGTGCTAGACTGAGAGGAAACTGATGAAAATGATGAGTAATTCATGCCTTCTCTGCTTTTAGGTGCTGATATTGCTAATGTTTGTAATGAAGCTGCTTTAATTGCTGCAAGGCATCTCTCAGATGCTATAAACCAAAAGCACTTTGAGCAAGCAATTGAAAGAGTTATTGGAGGTAAGGTGAATCGCATCAGTCATTTCTCAAAAATTGTAACAGGCAATATTCTTTTGTATATGTAGCTAGAAAGCCATGCTTTGAGTCTTTCTCCTGTTCAAGGTTGTAATTTTTTCTCTCCTAAACACACCTGAGATTTGAAAAAGAAGTATCCTGTCTGTGTTGCTGACTTCTGTAATGGAGAACAGGGTAGGGAGAGAAATTTCATCAGGATGCTTTTCTAGTTTCTTCAAAATGGCAAGAGGAATAGCTGTTTGGATTTAACGGTGTTTTTAACTGCTCTTAGCCTGGAATAGTCAAGAAAACTATTTGATTTTTAAAGTGCAAATGTTTTATTTGAATATTCTTAAGAACTTATGCTTTGAAACTAGAAAATCTAATCAAGGGCAAGGTTACAGTAAAACCTTGAAGATACAAATTTCTAAAACTTGCAAGTTTTGGTTTGGGTTTTTTTTGTTTTAGATTATATACATGGCATCTAAGTATTGTTCACCATCTTTCTAAATGAGATAAGGGATTTCAGTGGAGAAAGGTATGTCTGAAATGATTAATCAAATTTATTTTATAAAGGTTTGGAAAAGAAAACTCAAGTACTGCAGCCAGAGGAGAAAAAGACAGTAGCATACCATGAGGCAGGGCATGCAGTTGCAGGATGGTTTTTGGAACATGCTGATCCACTCTTAAAGGTAAAGGAAGCTAATTTGAACTAGTAATTTAATAGTAGTGTGGACAGTATCTTTTTTTCTTTTCTTCACATCCCCCACTTTCCCCTCCCTCCATTGTGAGAGGGTATTAAAATATATAATCTTTCTGAAGTGTGTGAGTGTGTAAATTTTGGGGTACTGTTTTGGTTCACTTCTTGTAGCTTTCTTAACTGTTTCTGACCTAGCTGTTACAGGGTTTGTCCTATTAGCATCCTTGGCAAGTGAAAGCGACCTGATCTTCCCATGAGTTTTCCTGCCTTGATAGCTGCTTTTTCTCTGAGGCTTTTAGCACAGATCAGTTGTTTAAGTTAATCTTACCAGGTTATGCAGGTAGATGTCTCTTCAGGAATATAACTATATAAATTATCATCTAGAGGCTGATTTTAGTTTTAATTTGCTTTTTGGATGCACAGCTTGACAAGTTGAAAATAAAGGAAAAAGCACCCCAATCTCTCAAATTTGCTTTGACATTGGTAGTTTTGCTTGGCTGTGTTCTTAATCTCATCTGACTTTCAAGCTTAAAATTAATCTTGTACAATTTACTGCAGGAAGGAAGGACATTAGTAAACATGGAAACTCTTCTAACTATTCAGAATACTAAAGATGCAGAAATTATATGTCTCTGTTACCGAATACTTAAAGCCCAATACATAACTCCAAAAGAATTGTGGATTTTCATTAAAAGATTTTAAAAATAGCATACAGTCTTTGGGAAAGATATGACAGTGGTCTTACCTTTCTTTTCCAGATATTCTAGTAGTTGTTATCCCAGTTTAGAGCTAGCCAGGGCTTTTAAGGATAAAACACAATGAGGGCAAAACTGTAAACGGAAATAATGTCTGAATTAAACTCCAAGGGTGAGTATGGTGTAGGTTGTGATATTAAAAATGAAGTCAAACTGAAGAATGCTTTGTGTTTTTTAACACTATTTAGTTTCTAGCATTCTGTTAATTTTCATCCTAGGTATCTATTATCCCACGTGGTAAAGGACTGGGTTATGCTCAGTATTTACCCAAAGAACAGTATCTTTATACCAAAGAGCAGCTACTTGACAGAATGTGCATGACTCTGGGAGGACGTGTATCTGAGCAAATCTTCTTTGGAAGAATTACAACTGGTGCCCAAGATGACTTGAAGAAGGTGACCCAGAGTGCGTATGCTCAGGTATGTGTTTCAGTGAGACTTTTTTCTTACAGTTTTCTTTATCTACTACCTAACACCAGTATTTTGAAAGGATGCAATTTGATCAGGTGTGTCCCTCAAAAGCCTAGTTTCAAAAAAAATATGAATAAACGTTATGCTGCTGTTGTATAGCGATGCTGCTGACTCAAGTATTTTAGTATAGTCTTAGAACAGGAATCCAAGTATTAGGCTTTGATTACTATCCTGCATCTGTCTGCAGGAACATATATACCACAGTTGGATTCAAATACATGTAGAAATTGTACACTTTTAAAATGGAATTTAGCGCACAGATTTGATCATCTGATCCTGCTTTCACAATTGCCCAGTTTGTAGACCCAATTTGGATTTGCATGTGTAACTAAATCCAGAAAACCTTTTATGTAAGCACCATTTGCTGTCAATTAAGGCTGCTGAAGTTAAGACATTAGTTTGTGTTTGTATCGTATTAACTAGCGTAGGTGAGTAATTTGAAATCTTATCAATGTAATGACTCACCTCGGTGTCTGCATCAACACAAAAGATGTCATTTTAGAAGACACTCAGAAGGTGAGCAAGAGAGACATTTTAGAGTACGCTTCTCTTCCCCTGCACAACACTTACCCCCAAATCACACCCACTTCCTAGTCTCTGATGTGCCTCTTGTTGCCCCAGTTCTGGAAGTAAATGTGTAATGAAATCCTGTTAATGTTAATTTTATGGGATCTGCAGTGACTCTTGTTCAATTTTAAACTAAAAACTAAGTATAGACTTTTGTTCGCATTAACCAGACATACTGTCTCCAGAGAGAACTGGGGGCTTAAATAAAAGTATTGAACTTTTCTTAAGGAAGCGGGTTAAGACGCTTGGTTCTAATGCTGAGATCTCTTTGAAGTCTGAATGTTCTTTGTCATACCTATATCCATCTTGCAAAGCCAAGCAGAGAAGTGCTGCTTTAGTGACCATCAAATTGACAGTGGCAGTGAAAACATGATTAGCGGTTTGAACTTATTTCTGCCTCTGCTGGAGTAAAATGCAACTTTCATATTTGGCAACCAGAGGAGTCAGTGTTCAGTAATGAGTCAAGCAAGACAGAATCATTTTCACCTTTGTAGGGGAGTGACTTGGGATGAAGTATAGTATATAATTTTTGCATATGATAGGACAAAACCTTCAAGACCCTCTACTTTAATTCTTAAGTTAATTTGTCTGTATGGGTGAGTGGAATATGCTAGACTATGGAAGCATTTTGAATTGGAAAAAATACTTATATTTCTGGTAAATTAAGAGTTTTACTTCTTAATGAAGGCTGAAGTGTTTTTCTGTAATATCATAGTATTTAAACAGCAAAGCATCATGTACATCATGAGTAACTGCCTTCAAATAGTAGTATTTGTGTCCTTCAGTTTAATCATTAAAAGGAAACAAGTGAAAGTCAACTAAGGTACTTCAGCTTAGGTAGATTTGAGGTTTTTGGGGGGGGGCGGTGTTTAGAGGAAGAGATTGGGTCATAGCAGAATGACTTCCTCCTTGCAGTTTTGTTTACCGTGCTTTACATTAACATACCCTGAAATCTTACTCTCTCCTTTGTTTGATTTTTTTTCCCTTTTTTTTTCCTTTTTTCTCTTCAGATTGTTCAGTTTGGTATGAATGAAAAAGTAGGCCAGATTTCCTTTGATCTCCCTCGTCAAGGAGACATGGTATTAGAGAAACCTTACAGTGAGGCAACTGCCAGATTGATAGACGAAGAAGTACGGTCATTAATTAACATTGCTTATGACAGAACATTAAGTCTTCTGACTGAGAAGAAAGCTGAAGTGGAGAAGGTGAGCATTACAGTACTTTTAGCTGCCAAGTTCCAGCTGGTAAGCCAGAATCTGAATTGAACTGAATAGATTAAAGATAGTGACTATGTAAGTACATGAGGACATTTGCTCAAAAACTATTGGATGTAATCTCGAGAGTATGTCACAAGACTTAAATGGAAGTCTCCTTTTGTGGTGGAACACCTCTGAGGTTCTCATGAACATGATTTAACATCCCTCTTTCCTTATATGTTCAATGTTCATTTGGAAAGTTGGAGGGAAGAGTCTGTCTAGCAAAATACACTTTAGTAGATGTACTAGACAAGTATGAAACTTAAAATAGCCCAAACACAAAATACCAGGATTCCAATTCATTAAGCTAGAAGCTCCTCTCCAAGAAGGGAAGTATAACTTCCTCTCTCTGAATTCCTTTTGAACATTAAATAAAAAGAATCTTTCTATCACCTTCCTTCCTTGCCCCCTGGCTGCTTGTGATCTGCCTTGCTGCAGCTGAGATGACCCATGTGCATATTCTCTTCCTCCATGCCAGAAGGCCTGATACAGCAAAGGGATAATTTTCCAGAATAGGCACCCAATACACTTACTGACAGGGCGGAAAGTTTGTATGGATGTGGTAAAAAGTGGTGTAGTAGGACACCCTCCCAAAAAAGATCACTGAATATGGTTTGTGCCGAACAATGTGCTCACTGACCCAGGAAAGTTACAAACTACCCTTGTACAGTATTGTACGCATTGTAATTTTATGGTGCTCTTTAATTTGTGACATAACAGCAGCCCTATTGAACCATCTGGTTTAGTAGGAAGGGAACGCTTGTTTTTAGCTTGGTGTCTTGCATCGTGAGCCTTTTGGCAGCAGCGAAAGACTGCTGTTCTGAAGCAACAATAGCAGCAACAGTGGCCCGTAGGGAGGGCACTTTGCCAAATCCTAACAGTAGGATTAAAAACACGGTATTCTCCTCTGTGAGCATCTGGGTAGCAAAAATCATGTATTAAGTGAACTCCGAGCAACTTTTTTTTTTTTTTTCTATCAAAATTAATCAGTGCTGAATTTGGTCCCAGACTGCCTTAACAAACTCTTCCAAAGAAGAGAGCCAACTTGGGTATTTTGTGTGACATAACCTATTGCTATTCCAGGTTGCCTTACGACTACTGGAGAAGGAAGTGCTTGATAAAAGTGATATGCTAGACTTGCTTGGCCCAAGACCATTTGCAGAAAAGTCTACTTACGAAGAATTTGTTGAAGGTACAGGAAGTTTGGATGAGGATACTTCCCTGCCAGAAGGCCTTAAAGACTGGAACAAAGAGCGTGAAAAAGAGAAAGAAGAGACAACAGATGAACAGGTAGCTAGGCAGATCAAAGGAGGGATGCCATTTTAACTGCGAAGTGTGTGGTGATGTTGACTTGCACTCTGGAAGCGAAACAAACTCACCTAGTTTGTACTTCAAAACAAAAGAATATTTATTCAACCAAACCATATTAGGGATGGGTGGAAGAGTGATCTCTTGTGATAAGGATTGATAAGGATATTCTGCTCCAATTTACATATGTGATATCATCAGATCGCTGGTAAAAGATGATCATCTTTCATTTGTCAGCTGAAGAAACATTCATTGGATTTGAGCTGCAGTGGAATGCCAGAACCGAGCCTCTCAAACTTTGAAACAGTTTGGATTCATGCACAAACTTTGTGGCATTAGTCTCCTTTTCTTTTTTTTTTCACCCTTAAATATATGTAAGCTTAAAAAAAATTTAAGTTTTTTGATTATTCATCTAAATTATACCTGTATGTGACCTGTTTCCAAAAAAAGAATCGTACAAAATGCATTGTTGAATGCTTAGCCAAAAGTCTGGTCTTAACAAAGTACTAGCTTTGCAAAACCATCAGCTCTTTCATCTGACCCTTTCCCCCTTCCCCTTTCATTTTGATTTTAAAGAGTTTGTTTACAGAGAACTGCCATCTAAGTTGACAGTGAAACCAGACACCCACTTAAATATCTTAAAATGTGCTCATCGTTCAGTGTCTTTTAAGTCTGAAACTCAGTTTGGCTCCTGCAGTTTTATTAGTCAGTTTTTTACAGAGTTCTGTAAGATATTGAACATATGAATGTGTTGTGTAAATACAGTTTGAGTCAATAAAATCAGTACTTTTCTGAACAAAGCTTGTCCCTTTTTTTGCTGGTTTCTTGGTATAGCATTCAGACCAATACCAAACTTTCTCTTAAGCCTAAGATTTTGTTAAGGTAGCGAGATTGTGCTCACAAATACCAAAACCAGCAGCCAAATCCAAAGGTGCTAAGTCAGATTGTCAGGGTTTCATACTGGTTTGCTTAACCTGAAGCTTGCTTTTTTTTTTTTTTTTTTTTCTCTTCTGCTTAGTTGAATACAGTTGTCTTTAGTAGAGTCATCTGCTTCTGGTTGTCTGCTGCATTTATTAGCTGGAGAATTCAGCTGTTCAGAAATTAACTGGTGGTCTCGCTAACCTGGAAGAAGAGAGGGAAGCATGACTGGGGAGTGGGGGGGGGGGCTGTTAAGTGGGGAGGGAGAATGAACCAAGCTTCTCACAACTGAGAGGGCAGGTTAAGAGAATAACCGGGGATTGATTCCATCTGTATGTTGCAACATTCTGGAAAGCTGTGGGATGACAAAGAGTTGTCTCTGAAAGCTCTTTGCTTTCATTACTGGAAGTAAATTGGTCATTGAAATTATTCTCCTGTGATTTCCACACTACCACCCCCACCCCCCCTTTCATGATGAAGCTGTTGCCATTTCTGATGTTGCCTGGCTTTTAAGGTGAAGAGGAACAAGGGAAATGGAGCAAATACAGCAGTTTAGGGCATATTTACTGGGCATTTTTAGTTGTCAAATGCCACTTCTGTATATCCCTATTGGATCCATTGCTGTAGAATGAATGATAAACAGGAAAACATCCTGAATAAAACTAAACTTCAGTTCCTTTAGTATTGGAGTCAATGTTTAGAATGATTTATTGCAATAGTAAACTGGCTTTATAAACCTTAAATCTTGCACACATGGTAAATAGTGACTGATTTCTGTGCATGTGCTCTAGTGCTGTACCTTACATGTATCCTGTATTACTGCCTTACTTGTTCCAGTTTTTCCCTCCCATTTAGCTGAACATTTCTTTGTTGGAATAGGCAATTTGTAGCCAGGGCTGAGGATTAAATGCACTTATGTCATAAAGGTCAGAATTCTGCCTTTCCTTATTCCTGATTTAAAAAAAAAAAAAAACCAAAACCAAGCAAAAACCACCAACAACTGCTTCCCCCCCCCCCCAAAAAAAAAAAAAAACCCCAAACCCTAACCTAACTCTTCACAGTGGCACAACTGGACTGTAAAAGAATCATCTCCTCTCCAGGAAATGTTTTCTCTTACTCCCTGTTGATGCTGTCTGCTTTTAAATTTCACTCATTCAGTTGCAGCATGCAATTAATAAGCATATGATAATGTGAAGGAGAGGTAAGTCCCTTTGCCCCTGTTTTAGAGTATTAACTTGCTTTGTGTAGTCTTACCTCGCCAAGTCTTAATATTTTTTATGGCAGAATTTGTGTTTGGAGATATGGAGGGGGGGGAAGCTGTTTACCCAGCCTGCTTCTTTAAAGAGGACTGTTAGCTGCCTCCTACTCACAAATTTAAGACTTAAGGTGGTTTAACGTAAATCAAGGAAAACCAAGTTTAGTCTGTGCTGTGGCTGCCAATAAGATTAATTTTTGTTGCAAACACATTGAGCAGTGCTGCTTCAAGTAGCAGGGGCTTGTACAGCACGGAGGCAGGCACCGAGTTCTGGCTCCTCCCAGCGCGGGGAGAAGGAGCAGGTCTAGACCCTCTTTCCCAGCCTGACCCTGTTCCTACCTTTTCCCAAGGAGATACAAATGCAAGAGAAGAAATGGAGAGAGCAGTAATCTTGGGATGCAGCAAAATCAGGCAGGTCCTGCGCAGGGACTGTCATGTCTAAATGGAGGGTCTGCCCGATTCCTTGCCAGCTTTGACCAGAGCGACTTCGCAAAGGAGCTGGCCCATCAGGTGAGATTCCTGTTTCTGCCCTGACACCACACCTTCTACCCACAGCGCACCTCGCCCACTCCCTCTTTTCAAGTGGTGGTGGTGTAGGTTGGTGGTTTGGGTTGGTGGTTCCCCCCCTGCCCCCCATATCCTAGTGTTCTCAGGGGTGTTTGTGTCTGGGCGGTGCTGGGTGTGCCACTTCTAGGATGCCTCAAGTCTGGCCTGTCCTAGCAGCCTGCTTCTACATATTTGTGGCCAGGTGCAAAGCAGAAAAAAGGAGAGAAAATGCAGGACGAAGGTGGGCTAGGCACAGAAAGAAAAGGTGCAAGAGACTCGGTTGAAAAACTAGGGGGAAAATGAAAAACACGTAGGTGTGAGGAATGTGAAGAGGAACAAAGATAGATAGGACTCAGCAGGTAGAATTCAAAATAAAAGAGAAGTTTCCAAGGGAAAAGCAGGAAGTTACTTGAAAGGAAGTGCAGCTGAAGAAATTGTTCCCCAACCCTGTTACTAAAACAATTTTCAGTTTTATGTCAGGAAAGGAAGATGGTTAGAGTTGGTTGACTGAGGAGGAACAGGAAGCTTTTGTGCGTCCTATGGCTTTCTTACTGCTCACGTGCAAGCTGGTCCTCTGACAATGTTCCTACTACAGGTTCCTGGGTTCATTTTGGTGGGTTGGGGTTTTCCCCCTAAGATCAGATGGAAGATCTGGCTCAATTTTTTTTTTCTACAGAGGGCATTAGTTTGCCTCCCCCTCCAGCCACATTCTAGAACTTCACATCAAACAGTTGCAAGTAAGCACATGCGAAAGAACAGCTAAGTGTCAAAGCAGGCTCAGAGGATGTTGTTAGGTCTGGATTCCACAGGCTGAGAGTCTTGATTTTGAGTCAGTGTGTATGAAAAGCAATGAAGAACAGGCTTGTTCACCAAGCAAATGACTCGCAATTATTTAGGAACTCCAAGATTCCTGGCATTTTTAAAGTAGTAACTTTTTTTTCTCACAGTAATATCAGAATTTACGGCTGGGACCTAGTTACGAGTGCTGTATTACAACAAAATGCAGTTCCACAAGCTGGCAGACGGTTGGTTCTACTTCATTCAGAAGCAGCTATGTGAGTGCTTTAATTGGAAAGTCTGTGCCACAGCTGTATGATGGCAGGCTCTGAGCCTGTAACATGTTCTCCTCCTTCCTGAAGCCAATAGCCTGCCATTTACAAAGCATCAGCTAAACTTTGTTATTCCCCATGGATTTTGCTTTGTTTTGCACTAAACGTTAATTTCTCTTTAATGCGCATTGTGTTTTAGCTTAATCTCATGCCACACATAGCCACAACATACCGCAACATTTATAAAAAATGCATATTTAAAGGTGTTCTTCGTAAATTCTTTAGGCATCACTAGGCATTGCAAAGAATGTGGTCCCTGTGAATTTGCTGACTCCGTCATGACCGTCATTGGCCCACCCAATCTCTGCGTATACGCCTATACCAAAGCCAGTTTGGTCAGTATGTTCCAACTGTCTGCCTCAACCCATGAAGTAATTTCATATTAAAAACTTGTACTTGATTAAAACTAGTTGGTCCCATTTCTGCATAGAATAAAACTGGGCAGACAGCTTCAGCTCATGTGATTTACAGTTGCCTGGTTCCATATATTTTATAAAATACCATCTCGTTCCCTGAATCCCAAACCAACAAAACATAACATCATCTTGTTAGGAGCAGTGGATCTTTGGAAATTACACTATGTTCATAAAAAGTGCCTTTTTAAGTATTGAGCAACACTTTTGCTTAGAAAGTGCTTCTGAAGGCAAGAAGAAAAAGACCAAAGAGTTCCTGAAACATTTTAAGTTTGGATTTCCAGACTGTTTCTCCTTTGTTTGCTTGTTTTGTTGCCTAGAAACTGACCTAAATAAGAGACTCGATGTAGACAGTGTTCTCTGGTAGAGGCTCTCTAATGGAGAAGGGCTGTTTAACTGGTATGAGCAGAAACATAAAGCATGCACCAGGAGCAAATGCCCAACGGTCACTTCGTCAAAGCAGCAAGAGCTTTCCCTTCCCTTTAGTGTAAGCAGATAAACTGTTCATCTTTCATTTTGCCAGCTGCTTTGAACATTGTGGATACTTTTTATTTGTACTTTAACCTTAATCTGGTCCAGTGATTTTAACCTATAAGACATCCATAGCATCTATAGGTGTGGTGAACTCGCAAACCTAAGTAGTGAGATATATCCCTACCTCTCCCACCACCTTCTGTGGAGTATCTGAATTTCAGCTATATGGGCTAGATGGAATGGAGATAGGAATAGCACCAGTAACTGGTGATAGCCAGAAAAACAGGGGAGCAGCAAGATATTGGGGTGCCACTTGAAACCCCAGGGGTCCTTTAAAGAACACATCACAAATGGATATATATAACCTGCAATTATTCAG